GTTCTAACAGCATATGAATTTGTTTGTAGAGCACAGAAATACCTACTCGGAAAGATTTCCACACTGGAAACCGTATACTGACATATGCCCTAAGCTGAAGAATGCCCCCTTGCCTCCACAACCCTAATAATAAAACAAGTGTAATGTAACCTTTGAAACAAGCGACTTTCCCGACAAGAAGCGTGAAAATTTCGTAAATTCAAAGAGAGCCGTACAACCAATTTCGAAGATTGCACATATATATTCCCGTAGTTTCTGAAAAGCCTCTAGTTGGTTGAGCACATGAGCAGATGTGAACAGAGCAGCAATTCGGCAGAACAAAAGGGACAAACTAAGAGAGTTCACAAAATTTACATCGGCACATTTCAGTTACAATGACTTCAGCGAGCACTAGATGAATGAAAAGAAAAAGCAAAAGTCTTGCAAAAACCTCTGGAGTTGTTCGGAACGCTGAAATGTGTATTTAAAGCTAGCAGGGAAGCTCCGTGATGCGATAGACTCTGTTCACTGCCAGATGTTTCACGAGGCACTGCTTCAACCCCAGCTATTAAATTGTTGTAAACACTTACAAAATGGGAGAGCAAGGCATAAAAAGGAATTTGCCTTTCATTTAGTCATTGCTGCACCACCCAGCATTACAAGTGAAGTCCCACTTCTGTCAATAATACTGCCACAGTCTCACCTCATGTGATGTTACTGCAATTAGTCCAAACCAGTATATGTTCCTTCCATCGCTGTCACAAATATTGAGGGCAATAACACACTACACAAAATGACTGGGGCACAAGATCTAGAACAACAGTTCACGTTTGCTTCATTGTCTCGCTTGTCCCACTTTTCTAGCTTCAGACTCGAAAGCGATAACCCTGATATGTCCTCTCTGCCATCTATCTAACCTAGGCAGAAAATATGGTGACAGCAAAAACTTTAAGGGCAGTTCAGTCATTGCTTTTCACTTGTAAAGAGGTACCAAAGGAGGTTGGAGAACCACTGTCAACTGTCACTTGTAAAGACAACTAGAGAACTGTCACAAGTACACGTAGGAGAGCGCGTTGGATGGACTACGGTTCACATGGAAAGAAAAACACTGAAAATATACGAGGGACAGACACACACAGTTCTTTCAATGAGCAATGCCATTTAAATGATGCCCATCACACTGGGAAGAACCACTTTGGTCACAAAGAAAATTAAGGAAAGACGAAAATACTAGAATGCTGAAAATTAAGGGAAGACAACAATACTAGAAATACTGGTGTCGATATCGCTGTTGTTATCAACACCAGAGCTGGAATTCCTAGCGTCAGAGTTGTCATAGGAAAAGCCTCCTCCAATATTCTTCTTCCTTTTCAGGAAGTTAAATTCAGCTATCTTTACTTTTATCTTTTTCTAGTGTTTTCGTCTTCCCTTAATTTTCTCTATGGCCCAAGTGGTTCTTCACAGTGTGATGGGCATCATTTAAATGTTGTTGCTCTTTGAAAGAACAGTGTGTGTCTGTCCCTCGTATATTTTCAGTGTTTTTATTCTTTCCGTGTGGACTGTCACAGTGGTGAGATTCACCCCAAATTGTGTGCATTGTTTTCCAACAAACTGCCTCTCTGGCTTCGATGCCATCTTTCTACACATCACCGAAATGCTGACACCAGGAGGAGAGATAACATAATCTATGACTTATCCTCCCTTGTTGACGGAGGCATCTGATGCCAGCTTCTCCCACGCCATTCTCCTATAGACGATTGCAAGCTGGGCGACCGGCCGCTGCCCGTGCAATTGCAAGCTCCAATGCTACGTTCACATGCACGCTGCACTTGCTTGCGCGCATGGGGCACCAAGCTTACAATTGTCTATAAGGTTACACAAAGAAAGCAGCTTGACTGGAATCACTCATACATTTATTTTAGCATTTCATGGGTTCAGCAGAGCAATGGGCTCAGTTTAAAGTCAAAGCAACAGAAATAGGTTTAAACTTACTCTGAGTGTGAAGCAAAAATTTTTACTTGCAGCCTATAAAACTGTTGGCTGTTACACAAATAGCGATTTGATACCTGCATAATTATCTTTTCTATGACATTGAACTGCTACTAAAATTATTACAAACAACATAATTAAACTTGCAATTTCAGGATTAGCAATCTAACAAGAAACAAAAAGAAGACATGAACCCACATGACATAAGCATGTCAAAAGCCTTTCTTTGAGTAAAAACGTTAGGCAATTCGCAAACCAGCATATGTAGCATGAACAATCAGGAGTGTGAGATGACCTGCTGTTGCTTAGTCTCCAATCTGAAAGGCTTTTGAATGCATGCATGACGGGGCCCCGTATCACAAAATATGGATCAACCTTAAAACTGTAAATGAATGCAAATGAAAAAGGTAAAACTATGCCAAAGCAATTGAATTATATGACAGAGGATCCACACTTTTTGAAGAGGAAATAAAAGACAAAACCTCCCCAGTGTGGAGGCTTCCTTTCCTCGAGCAAGTCTAGTACTATCCTTATCTTTCTGTGGACAGAGCAAAGTTGATGTACCAGCAAACAGCAAACTCCGCCCAATTTATCTAATTGGCACAATTCAAAACCCAATCCAATGTTAGTAAAACAAAGTATGCATGATAAAGAAACGCTAGACAATATGCAAAAATTCCAAAAGGCTACAGGAGCGGTGCCACCAGAACACTTTCAATCTGGTATCTCGCTCAAAAGTTGAAGCAGAGACTGGCCAGTCCCAAGCAACTCCAGTCGAACAAGACTACTTTCCTACTGTACACCACCAATATACACATTAATTTTAGGCCTATTCACTATAGGGTACATTATAAGGCTCTGTACAAACACAGGTTTATGCCACGAACATCCCATGTTAACCGGACTTGGAACTTGCTCCTGTATTATCATCGCTGCTCTACTTTTCAATGCCAAACACAAGTAGGTCCTTGTAGCTCGGTGTTCCTCAGTGCCAAAATTTCTAGCTCATTCCTCGCAGCACTAATTTATGCACACTGAATCATAACACCAAGAGCACCCGAGCACGCTATGGCATGGGGGGTGAGCCATTCACAACATAGGCAAAGAAACAAAGGAGGGACACAAAAGTTTGTTTGGAATACAGATATCCATCGCATGTTGGCAGAGCTCCTTGAAAGTGTTGATACAAGATCTTCCAGAATGTCAGTCAGCTGCCATTCCTACGAGCACAAAGTCAACAAAGTATCTGCCTCGGTTTATATTTTCAATCATACCATTCCACATAGGAGGCGAGTCAGAACAGAGGACATGCAAGCCACGTAGAAGCACTCTTGAGCGCATTTCTCCGAGGCGGCCCCATCCTTCCCACGACAGTCCACAGTGCACATGTGCATCCGAACTAGGGAATCCCAAGTCAGGACCCAAGGAACCGTAAGCCCCCTTCACGCAACAAGGAACAGTCCCGCTGACCCGTCATTCAAAACGCTTCTGATGCAGCCCTTGGAGTGAAATATGTCTGCTCAAAGCTATGCGGAGCGCAAGTTCATTTGCTTTTCGAACTGGGGATGCAATGATATCAGAAAACCGAGTTCTAATTGGCTGATTGAAAAAAAAATAGAGGGTAAACCTCCAGGCATCTGGCATTGAGGTCTACTCGCAATCATTCCAATCTAGCCAATCAGAGCTTGGCGTTCCAACATCACCGCAACCCCTGCGCAAGCAGCAAACGAAATTGCGCTTCGCACAGTTATGAGCCCACGAAGCACATATTCTACGGAGACCCCATTGACATGGGATAAAAGCATGTTTACCCCCCAGACCAAGACAAAACCACCAAAATTTGCATCATGCCTCTTCTTTAAATGACAAGCCATACTACAGATAATCCCTTACTAGTTGCTGAGAATGACGAGTTTTGTATTGTGCAAGTGATGCCATTAGAGAGGTAGTGTCAGCGACGAAATGCCAGTTCAGAGCTATGCTACTCAAAGGTACCAGTTTTTAATACATGCACAAAAAACACTGCTGCGGAGCAGAGAAATATAGAAGTACTCGTGCAACCTTGCCAGAGACAGATATGCAGATGGTTTCAGGGTCCAGCACAAGGTAACGTTAGTCTGCGTCACAGAGACTATAGGTTCACATGCGCTCCTCGACTCACGCACGGGTATAGACATTCGCTGCTTTTCGTTCGAATATAACCATGACCTCCCAAATTGCGAAGTGCTTCGGGATAAACTTTCCAAAAGATCTCGCTTTCGCGGCTTAAGCGTCAGTCTGGAAGAATGGCTTACCAGACTTTGGCTGACGAAAGAGAACAACGTTTGAGCGCACCTTTTATGATTCCACATCTTGATCCGGAACTACTACCTCGAGCAGGACGTGAGCTCGACACGCGAGCAACAGTCGAACATACCGTGCAGCGCGCTCGCGGATAGTCCAACCTAAGCATAGAAAAACACTTGAAACGTAGCCGGATGCGTTAACCTCATAAAAAAACAGGCGCAAGTGTCGGGAGGTTTTTTGAACAGCTGGTCCGGCACTACGGGCGACTCACAACAGCGCTGCCGCAAGCATGAGCACAACGAGCTTGCTAAGCTACTCTCACACGGCGTTTCGAAATCGCGCACTAAGACTCTTTTTAAAACAAAACATGCAGGACGTGTGGTGGTGTACCTTGAAGTCGGTCGCTCCATTCAAAAGTAAGACTGGCAAGACGAGTGTCAAAGAATCGCGTAATGCTTCCTACTGATCTCTGACCATCGTTTTTTAGATTTCTTTTTGGGCAGGAGCCCCACCAGGGTTAGGAGCGGATGCTTCTAAATCTGTGTGTGCGTCTTTGGCACGTTAAAAGGGCAGGCAAATATTTATGCAGATGGGGAGACTTGACGAACGAGAAGTGCGTTGCGAGACGTCAATGTTTATCTACGGTTCCGTCTACGAACCAACCGCGGTTCTCTTCCGCGCTTGCACGGTTGAGGTGGTGCTTGTGGTTGCGTTGTTCGGACAGAAAACTCACAGGCAAAGACTTACCAATTTGAGTTAGGGGTGCTCCTCCAGCGGCGACATCGCGAATGTTTTGAAATCAACCTGACAATAGCAGCCAAAAATCCAAAATGAATGCAGACTATCGTTCTGGCTGGCACCGCAGTTGGTGTACTACCGTCTTGCGACTGGTTTATAATTAAACAGTTAAATACATATAAAAACTATTATGAACCCCTGCAATGTTTATTTGTAAGTTATATAAGATTATTAGTGTTTAACTATTAATTTCGTATTTACAATAAATTTTAAAATTCTGCGGGCCTTTAAGATGGCAGCCTCCTGTCGTAATGCGTGTTTTTACCATGTGCGCTTGTTTTGATTGATCATGTCAAAGTTCTCTCAGTAGTAATGTCGCGAATAATCGTCAAAAACCTCCCCAAAAGGGTAAGATGTTCATTTTCTCAATATAAAAGTGCAATATTGCGTCGTCATCGTTTGAGATCGTGGAATGTTTGAATCGACTCACTGTTCCAACTTTCCAAAACCCAGGTGAAAGAAGACAGGCTGCGGGAGTTTTTCTCCAGCAAGGGTACCATCACAGACCTCCAGCTGAAGTACACGAAAGAGGGTGTCTTTCGCCGGTTTGCTTTCGTGGGTTACAAGGATGAAGCTCAAGCGGCCGTCGCGAAGGAATATTTTCACAACGCGTACCTCGACACTTCAAAGTTGCAGGTAACATGCCTTGTTGATTGCCTCGCACCCCCCCCCCCCCCCCTCCCCCACCCCCTCCCCTTCGTTTCCTCGTTTACGTGGTCCACACAGTTCCCTGAATTAAGAGGCCTCAATTATTTTACCTTTCCAACAAAACAATACTTCAAGATGGCAATTTCACCATGTCGTGGCAGTGGGTTCTAATTTATATAGTAGAAAAAAAAGTAATTGTAATGGCCTAAACAGTTACAGTTACCCAATCAAAAAGTAACAGTGTTATAGTTACAAGTTACCAGTATTAAAGAATAACGTGGTACAGGTAAAAGTTACCAAAGTCATACATAACCCGCCACTTGACTCGGCTGTCGTTGGCCCTGGCAAGTTTTTTGGCCCTATTTTTTACAGAAAGGGAGCTACGGTTTATAATTTCACATGATAAAACCGACCTGTGACATGCACCTTTGACGAAAAGTTTAGACTGCTACGTACAGGCGCCAATTTTTATGGCTTATTTTAGGTTGAGCCTGGTTATTTCAGTTACCCTTTATATAAATAAAAAAATAGTACTGAAACTGTTCTTTCTTTAAGCCCTCTTCTACCATTGGCCCAACATGCACTGATTGTATATTGAAACCAATAACTATCGAGCTTGAAAAGACTAAGCTTAGCCAAAAGAATTATAAATAGGTAGAAAGAGACTCCAAAAGATGTTGTCGAACCTGGTGAAAACGAGCAGAGTATAGATGTTTTGGTGTGGATAAAACTTTCTTCTGTTAGGATAAAAGCTTAAATCAGTAAGATACAGATAATAAATTTTTGTGTCTCATTTTTTTCCCTGTCCAGACTCTTGATAGCTTGCAAAGACACAGCTTCATTTACCATTTTGGTGTTTTTCTACTGCATGCATCCTATTCACTGTGTTAATTTCACACTTTACTAGTAACACCTCAGTGCAAGTATTAATTACCACCAGCACCGCTGCATTATGTGACATAGGCGAGTCGTGCATAGCCGATCCCCAAACAAAATGTAAAAGGAGAGGAGGAGGCAGAGGGAGTTCGCGAGGAACCTCCTGGGGAACTTCAATTGCCAGCCAACGTTTTGTGAGGAGACTTAGCCAAAGAAACTAAACTTGTTAGTGAAACCATTGACTACCAGCCTGAGACTTTCAAAGGGGCTTGTAAGGCCGCATACAGAGTGGATATATGGTGTGTCCGCGCGAGTTTGTTTTGTTTCCTTTTGCATTCTTGGAACTGCCATCATCTCAGCTGCTCGGGGCCCAACCCTTTGATTTGTATTTGTAGCACAAATTCTACTAGAAATTGCTAATGTCGGTTGAGGGCTTGGCTTATGCTCTAACCCCTTGGTTCCGGCTAGGGGTAACAACACAGACCCCTACAAAAACCCAAGATATGCGAGGGAGTGCAACTTTTGGCGTGGACTTGAGCTCCTCATGGTATATATCAGTTATGCAATAATCTATGAATTTGTATGAAGATTTAATGCACAAAAGGTCAGCACCTTGAATTTCTTCCTGTTCCACCATTGCCGCCAATTGCCAACCGCTTGCTGTCAGCTACAGCCCCATCCAACCTCAAGGGCAAAAAGCTTTACTAGGCTCCTGAATTACACAGTTAATACCAGTGCCCAGTTATTGAACAGTAATTGCTTACACTCAGCAGTCGAAAATTACCAGTGCTGTGGGATTTTGGTTCGAAATTCATTTTTAAGAACCTTATTTGATTTATGATCGACAGATACCTGAAACTTGCTCTTGTTGGGTATGTGTCGTGAGCCTGTACCTGCTTTGTTTGTTTTATTCTTTGACTTATATAATGCCTAGTACACTCCCATGGCATTCAGTAGTTCGAAGCACATTGTCCTGTAATTCCAGGTGGACATCTGCAAGGCACTCGGCGATGCAGAGAAACCTCGTGCTTGGAGCAAGTACTCCAAGGACAGTTCTGCTTACCAGAAGATGCATCCCGAAGAGAAGAAGCCAAAGGTGGCGGCCCCCTTCTCTTTTTGTCGTCCAAAAGTGCACCACGATGGAGCAACTTTTAAATTTCCTCTCGTTACACCCTGCAGCCACCAAAGCCCGAGAAACCCAAGAAGGAGAACTTTGCGGAAGCCTTCCTGAAAGATGTGAGTCTGGCTTTGTGTTACAGTCAAACGGCCTTATAACAAAGTTTTCGGAACCGGCGAAATTTTTCGTAGTACAAGTAACTTCGTTACAGTAGTTGAACGCAAAAAATTGATCACCCAAAACTAAATTTTTGTTATCGCATATTGACATACCTGCACGACATTCGAGGTGTTTTAGGGAAAATTATAGCACCAAATATAGTATGAGTGACATCATAAACGAGGTTTTGCACTTTGACTGTTGACTTATCAAAAAGGGAAACGGTGACCGAGTTCTAGTGCATCGCAGCTCGGAGCACGGCTTGCCGCTGAATCTTGGCATCTGAAGCTCGATTAACTTTTCTTTTTTTTTAATTAAAATTGTACCGGCACGTATTCGTGTACTCACCACTGCGTGATGCAATTTAAAGACGCAAGGCTAGTGGTCGTACCGCCACTGCCGCCACTGGTAAAGTTAGTCATTTACGGCCGAGACACCAGGTGCTCCTTGCTGCAACCTAATTTCTCGCTATCCAAACATCCACACAACAAACTTAAGTGATTTATCGAAATATGAATCGCAGCAATCGCTAGACCGCCGACGTCAACCCATGGTCACGCAGCAAATGAGGTGTTCGCCAACTGTGTAAATTTGGCCTTTGGTAAGTTGAGAGGCGGCTTGTGCCGCCACGCATCATTCGCAGAAGGCTTTCAAAGTGGCTAGGCTGCTCTCATAGGAGTGGGCGCAGCAGCCGTGACAGCACTACTGTAGCGGAATCAGCCACGGTTTTAAAACGCGATAGCTGCAGCATACGGTGCAACGAGGAAACACACAATCGAGCCGTTTGAGCCCTTTTTCACATCTGCCCGTCACAAAGAGGGGGCGCGTTTTTATGTGTGGCTCTACCGATTTCGCTTAAATTTTGACGTCGCAGATCCCATTTCCTCGACTGCATATTCTCACTTTGGGACTTGGATAAAGTCAGGTTAGGAATCTTGCTCAGCAGTGTGGAAAGGTTGCGAATGCCCATGAAAATACTTTCTCTATATATACTTTCGTCCGTGCGGCTCCTTTCAAATACATCGACGTAGATGCAGAATAAAAAAACGAATGCCCGCAAAAACGAGTGAACGAAAAAAAAAGAAAATCTCGTGTTGGAGTGGGGTGGCGCATACTCAAATAACGGAGGAAGCGAAAGAAAGTGCACTCACAGCTTGCAGCAGAGGAAGCACCACACATTCTCAGTTTTTGGTTTAAATCATTTATTAGCGTGAAACCTTGACTCTAGACGGTGCTATGTAACTATGTTGCTGCATACAGGCTTTCTATGCTGCAATATAGTTGCGTGGTGCCACCTAGACACAAGGTTGCACACTAACAGATTATTTGGACCCGAGAATGTGCGGCATGGCGACGGCAGTGGCGGTATCAACCATCGCTGCTGCTGCAGTATTTCTGTTCTCTACGCGTGTTACGAGCGACAATTTATGTAAAATCAATTACTTTTCACATCGAAATTATGTAATACCTCTCATTTTTGCTTTCTGGGGTCATTCAATTGCTTTGTTAACCAGAAATATTCGTTAAACAGGACTTCGTTACAGTAGTCAAAGAAACACATTGAACACTTAGAGGATTGGCCAGGACTTTATTTTACTTTGTTAAACGGGCATTTTCATAGTAGAGGCGTTCGTTATAAAGGCGTTTGACTTTATATTCTTTCTTCTTGTATGTCAGAAAGCTGACAGCATATTTTTTTAGTGCATGTGATGTTTTAATAAATAGGCTCTACAAGATAGTAGCTTCTATCATCGAAAGTGAGGTCTAACATATCTAGTGTGAGAAAGAAGTGTCCATAGAGAGGTATGGTAGGGTGCCAACATGTCTGTCTCAGGGTGAAGACTTCCCTTGTTGCACTGAGTTGGCCAGCACGTCATGCGCTGGGGCACTCGATGCGTGACTTGTGCAGTAAAATGGAGTCTTAAGCATTTGTTAAGGCTACATGCTCAAGCTGAGTCACACCGAATTGCACACACTTCAAAAGACATTAAAAAAAAAATTGGGCAGATAAATAGCTGAGATGTCACCACTCAAGCAAAAGCGCATATGTGTATGAAGGCACTCTTAGATATGGGCATTTCTCTTTCACATATGCTTCTTTTTCGCTGCTATGTGATATTTAGACAATATCTCAAAACTATTCATCCTGCATATTAAAGGGCAACTCCGCTTCATTTTTGTTGTTGAAAAAACAATGCCGTCCTCTTCATTGTCGCCTATGAAGACCACACACCAAAATATTACGAGCTACCGTAAAATCCCGAGAGATGCCCCACCCCCGAAAGATTGCTCACTCCTAGTAATAGTAGTGTTGGGATCAATGATGGCCTCGGCGTAAATGGGTCTGGTTAGCTATGGCGGGATATAACCAAACGTTGCTGACTGGGATGTACAGTCATCTTCGCTTCGTTGCCCCTTGCCACCATAACAGGCTTAGAACCAACACTACCTAAAAATAGCAATTTTTCAAACTTTTTTTTGATTGTACGTTGAAAGTTAGCCCACTCCATATTTTCACCTAATTTGCTTTTGATGTTAGGTAGGCTATCTCACTGGATTTTACGGTAGTTCCATCTAAATTTTTTTTAAACGGTCCGGCCAACATTGGAACGTGCAAAGTTACCGAATTTAGCTGACTCTTGCAGGCGAATTGAAGTGCAGTCAAGGCTACAGCGTTGGCGTAGCCAACATTGAGCTAAACGTCACCGCCATTGCCTCTTTTTGTTTGTTTTTACTTCTCCGGACACGCGTGACAGGCGACGTCAGCAACAGTTCGTCTCGGCACTCAGTGGTGTCTACGCGATTGGTGTAACGCACCTGCGCAGCACGCTTGTAGGGAGCCGTCCGGCCGTTACCGCAGTCTCCCGCATCACAACCGCTGTCGTCTTCTCACTGTTTGTGATTATTGTCTGGAGCTTTTTTTCACACTACATGCACAGACTGATGCCGCAGTTCTGCAGACGTCGGATATCACAGACACCAAAACATAGTGATGACTGCGCTGCAGACGACACTTCCGCCTGGCCCACGCCCACCCAAATTGTGGCCCGCTCCAGTCCCGCCCGTTGTTGCATAGAGGATCACGTGACATCTCGTACCACGTTGTAGCCATGTTTTTGGCAGCTCGAGGCCAATGTTGCCCGACGGAGCCGAAGTTTTCGTTTAGATTTCTTCTCTTGTTTAAAGTAAGATTTAACAAGGTATATCCCATTTTTCGCAAAGCAAAGGACGCAGTGCCTTTTATTAGTGCTTTTTATTGTGAAATCACTCTTTATCCTGAAATTTTCTGAATTAAGCAGTGTTGCCCTTTAAGTAGAAACATGCCTAATGTGCTTTTACCTAGAGGAGTTTTGTGGCATTGGGAGAAGGAATGCTGTTCTAAATTTGTTGACAAGAAGACAAGTAGTGTAGCACTCGTGTTTTTTTTATTTTTTTTGCAAAACCTTAGCCTTTGATCATCATCACATATGCGATGGGGTGTTTTGCCTTTACAGCTGGAAGGGAATGAGGAGTTTGAAGAGTTTCTGGAAGTGCACAGTGCCAACAAGGCTGCCTGGGGCAACGACACCAGAGCGCCTGCCAACGCAACTGTTGCCAAGAGCAAAAAAGGAGGCAGTGACCGAGAAAAGAACAACGAGCAAGAGGCAGCCCTTAAAGACGACACAGGTTTATGCAATTTTTAATTGGTACAGTTTGTTTTTCATTAGCAGTATTTGGTAGGTGAAGAAAGAAGTATTTGAGATGTAATGAGGAAGAGCTTTCACTTAGCCTGTCACCAACCGTAGTAAGGTAATAAGTGTGTGCTTTGAACTGCTATGTGAACCTAATTAAGGGAGCTGTGCAACAATTTTATTGTTGAAAGAATTGGCATCTTCTACTTTGGACATCGTTCATCTTGTCACAAAGGACAGAAAACACATCTCCTTCCTTCGAAATCTTGCGATTCTGCCGAATAATCGCGGAGAAAAAATGAGAATATTCCTAGACCTGCAGCCGCGAACGGCGGCCATGAGAAACACGCGTCATGACGTTAATGCGGGTCTTGTAGGGAGATAGCAAGTTGTGCGAATACCTGCCCGATAGAAGGTAACTTTTCTATAAATATTGTCGTTCCAACATAAATATAAATGCGTCAAAAACCTGGTATCATCGACAAAACTTTTATTATACGGAGTTTTAGTGGCACCATCTATCCAAGGTCAACAAAACCGTCAACTCTTTCTGCTAGCGCAAACAGCCGCCAGAAGCCGGAGGGGGAGGGGGACAGAACCGGACGGGTATGGCCGGACCCGGATGAGACTTTCCTCCTTTCACCATATGCAAAGCACTGAAACTGTTTCACAGCTTTTTTAATTTCACAGAACCTTTAAGTGTAAAGAAGCTACCAGCCACTTCTTTTGGAATGTTCTGTTATCATGTTGTGGAGCTTTATGCTGTGTCCTTAATATTTTTGACCAAATTAATTATTAGTATCTTATGGGTGACTAATGAAAGAAAGCAGACCCAAGTATTTGCACTTGTGGGATACCCTGCATGTTTTCAGCTTGTGAAGCCAATGCAAAGGCCTGCAATTTGTTGGCAGGGACACAAACATGATGAGGCTGATCCTTTGATTAGAAGTGATATTTCCTCAACCAACCTGTGAGCACATTGCAGCAGACTTGATCTCATGCTACCTTCACAGTGTTTCCAGAAATATGATTTCAAAGCCTTTCCAAGCCTGTATTAAAACTGCCGAAACCTCCCCATTTTGAATTTCAGGTTCATCTCACTTTTTCTTTTGTTCCACAGCCTCAGGCTCAGGATGTTGTTAGCTATCCTTCTCTTGAACTGTATACCTTAAATTCTAGTTATGACTAGCATCTCTAGAGGATGGCAGTAAACTTCGTAGTCCTACCTGGCTTTTGGTGCTTGTTTAAGAAATTTGCTCGTCAGCAATTGTGCGTTTGATAAAGCATCCTTCCCTTTTTTAATGCGAAAGCATTAACTGTCCAATGGAGCGAAGCCGGCGTTGTCTGTAACAGCGAAACGAGCAAGAAATTTTCTTGACTGCGACGCGTCACGTGGCTTCATAGCAACGGCGTCACCAGTGCTAAGGAGCCAGCAGAACTGCTGGTGGTGCAGTGGGAGGGAGGGGATGCGGATATGCATTTCCCCCTCATGCTATCAAGCATGCAGCGCCCAATCATATGCTCAAGGACGACACCGTCCTTGGCGTCGTCCTTGAGGTCGTCCGAGACATCGTTCTCGGCATTGTCCTACACGTTGTCCTCTAGGCGTCATTCTCGATGTCGTTCCAGGCATCCTCTACGTGTCGTTCTCGACATTGTCCTAGAGGTCATCTGAAAGGTCGTCCTAGACATTGTCCTTGATGTCGTTTTAGAGGTTGTTCTAGATGCCAAACTTAGTGTTGATCTCTAGGATGTCGTCCTCTATGTCGTCCTAAACTTTAATATGTGTAGAAATATAACTTAAAAATATTTCACCTGTGGGACTATAATGCTTTTGCCTTCCTACATGTAAACAGTCTTAAGTGTCCTTCTGTAATTTTTTTTAGGTCCACATTCCAGAGACAAAAAGACTGAAGGCACATCACCAGAGAAGGTAAAAGGCTACGTTCAATTAATGTTGAGATCGTCGTACAAAGCATGCAAGACCCAAGATTGGGTCTTGCATGCTTTGTACTGGTTTTGTTTCAAAAGAAGATTAACATGTTTTTTTTTTTAATTTATAGAGCTATGCTTTATAAGTCTTCTTTTATACTGAAATGGCAGTTCACTATGCTAGTTATTCAATAAGTTGCATGTTTCAGGACTTGGACATAACGAAAAGAGAGTGCCATACCCCCTGAATTATGCTGTTGGGTTCTACTTGATGTCGTTCTGTTTTTCTGTTTCTTGGTATTGCAGTGAGGTTTTGCATTTACCCTTGATAGGTCAAGTTGTCTTCTATTTTCCTAATTTGCAAGCATGTTGCCAGGCTTCCATGTCTTCAAAATACATTGCTTTGTCCACTTTTTTATGACAGGCTAGTCAAGGACAGCCCAAAGAGAGTGATATCCAGAGGGATACAAAGGTGAGGGAGAGTGGATTTGCGAATTAGTGATAACTGACTGTTTTCCGCTTTCCCATTCTGCAGTCTAAGCTGCCAGTGCAGGAGTTCAACTTTTCTCTCAAAGTCAGTGGTCTTCCCTACAAGTGCAAAAAGGTTTGTGTCCATTTTGTATCCACTTTTAATTGACCCACTGATTACGAGGGCTTTTCTTTTTTAGAGCGCTGCTCTTAGGCACCCGTTTCCGGCTTGAGCGGTGTCGCAGTAACCGTAACGCATTGGCGTAACGCTTTTTTGTGACGCATCTCCGTAGCCGTAATGCTTTTTCCGTGACGTGTCGCCATTGTTGTCGGCTTGAGGCGTTGCCGTCAGCGTAACCACGCGGTGCATTATGGGAAACGTCACATAATGCACCGCAATGACGCGCGTTGCTTTATGGGACGTTTTTCATAATGCACCGCGCAGAAGGGGGGCCAAGGGGGAGGAGGATGGAGGAGGAGGAGAAAGAGGGAGGAGGAAAGGAGTAGATGAGGAGGGAGGAGCAGAGCCGTATATGGGGAGAGTTTAATCAGTCTATGGTCTCGCCGCCGTAACGCTCTCCTCCCAAGTGAGCCAATCAGCACGTGGCGTAGAGCAAGAGGCATGAGCGCATGCGCGTGAACTCCCGGCTGCTCCCACCTGAGTGGGGAGGGCCGCCATCTTCGATCATTCTCCCGGCGGAATGCGTGGGATCGGCATCTAAATCTCGATTCTTGCCCTTTATATCGCTGGCTCTGGCAAGAAAATGAGAGTCTGTTATTCCTCGGTGGGTTAAAAAGCTAATAAATTAAGAATTTTCGGCGTATGGCCACAAACTTTTATTCAGGCGAAAAAGAAGTCGGCGCGTAGCAGACGACGCGTAGCATCAGCAGTGCTCTTCTCCGACCAGTCTCCGACAGCGTTGCTAAAAATGGCGGTCGTCTCCTCTCTGCTCCCTTCTTTCTCTCTCGCTCCTTCGGCGCTCTCCTCCCTTTCATTTACTTTTCTCCTCTCCGGCGCCTTCGTCGCCACACCCACTGGCCAAACTCTCCCAATATACGGCTCTGGGGAGGAGGAGGGGCATACCGTCCCCTCCGTACCCTCCCCTCCTCCTCCTCAAGAGCTGCGCTCTAATTCGGCATTACAGGGAGTTGTAAACGTCTTTAATTTTTTTCAACTTTGGATAAATTGGGTAAAAGAAAGAGTGACGAAAAATCTCTTACTATAGATAACGTGCAGATACATACTCTGGCTACTTCTCCACATAATCATTGCACAGACTAAGAAAGTTGTTATAATGTAGCACAAGCTTTTGGGTATCTTCCCCAAAAAAGGTTGTCGGCTCTGTTCTCAGTCATTCCATCATGAGTTCAACAAGGCTGCCATTGTAAAACCCTGCTACTATTTGATTGGACCTTCAGAAAAACTTTTTTGCAAATGAACCTTTTGCACAATATTGGATGTGTTGGGATTGGTAATGCCCATTTTGAGAGCTATGGTGTTGATTTATTTGCAGAAGCAAATCAAAGACTTCTTTAAACCTGTCAAAGTGGCGAGTCTGAGGGTTCCACCCAGAATTAAAGGTGAGCTGTATGAGACATTTCTCTAAGAAGGTTATACTACAATGCCTCGTCGTCTAGGCTTACATGTGGGCTTGTTATCCTCACGAAGACAACAAGTCCTCCCGTTAGCCCACATGGCGGCAAGATAGCTGGGCCTGTTAGTATGTTGCTTGCTAAATTTAAAACCGCAGCTACTGAGAGGAGGAGACGAAACCATATTTGTAGTTAAGTAACTGATAGGAGCCTTTATAATAGCCTAGCCTAAAATGAACCCCAAAGAAACACCCCTAAATTCGAAGTAGTATAATAAACCTTGAAAACACAAATCCAGTGATGTGATTGCTGCGCCAATTGCGCCAAACTGCGCCAAGGGGCTAACCCTGCTACATTCTGCTACATTTTGCCAAAATATGGGTAATCTGCGCCAAGCCTGTGCCAAAGGACCAGTTTTGGTTGCTTTTCAAAACCGAAACTACACTGAATACCGTAATTGAGCATGCGTGAGCTAACTGGCGCAGGCGGCCGCCCACACAAAGTACCCTGCATCAATTGTGGCATTGTAACCCTGGAGCCGGGGAAAAAAAGGGACGTAGGACAGGCACAAAACTCCAATGTCAGTATTGAACCAGCTCGCCTGCACTCTTGCTTTAGTCACATTAATCGTCCATCCGGTCTCGCATGGTTTTTCCCGCCGTCTCTTCTTTCGCGCTCTCGTCGTCTCATAAATCTAGTCTCGCGTTCTTTTTTTTTCGTTTTTTTTAAACGAAATTACATTTTTGCGTGGCAGGAGTTACTTTTCGAGCTGAAACACTCGCTTCTGAAAGCAACGGCCATGGGAAAACTATTTGGTCCCCTGCCGGCCAGTCCGCACGTGGCTACAGATATGGACCTTCCTAAACTGAAACATAAGGACCGCCGCATGTTCATCAACATTCCTATTCTTGTTTATTACATACGCTACTACGAAAATCCCTTTTTAACTTAAAGACTGCTGTGTAGAAGTATTGATTACCGAGGTTTCTCTTGGTTGGCTTTCTTTCAAGAGGGACCCAGTACATGAAAAATCTGTTGTGAAAGAAAGTTGGTGAAGAGACGTGAGCTAAAGCAAAGAAGGCAATATCTGCACGCTGAACCTGCACATCGCGCTTGTTTGTCTCGAGTTCAGTCTTTGCACAAAGCACTCCAAGAACGTTTTGACCCTGACTTGCGATGTCCTGCATCGATGCGCTCAGGTTCTTTTTTTCTGTATGTTTAGCTTGTACCTCGCCTGCCGGCCTTGCAAGCACGCGCCGCTGAACTGTTTATTGCCGCATACTGGGCAGTTAGATTTTGCATACATTTTTAGAAACCAGTTTGCGACAGAGCGGAGAGACATGATTTCGGTTTCGATCGAACAGCCGTCTCAGCTCGCGCGACGAAGCACGTGCAGCTGCAAGCCTGCCGAAGTTGCCCTGACGTACATGCAAACATGATTGCACGACAGAGGCACCAGCCGGGACGCTTGCAATCCACTGTTTTACGTTTACTTGTAACGAAAATCTGGCACGTCGGGAATCAGTAAAACGGTGGCAAGCGGTTTTTCAGAATCGCTCGGCAACGCGTACAGCACTGAACACTTGTAAGGTGTCTCAATGTATTTTTGGGGACATTGAAAGTGGACATTATTTTCTAGCCTAAGCCAAAGCGAAGCTTGCAGCAGCTTTCCAGAAAGTTTTGAAAAGCAAAAAGTACCCGCTAGTTGTAATGCACCTTTTTCTTGTGTGCAATTTCGGATTGTATATATATATATATATATATATATATATATATATATATACAATATATATATATAATATGGATTGATATATATGTATATATATATATATATGTGTGTGTTCCACCAGTCGGAGACTGCTTCCATTTTTAATATTATATCACTAGTCAACCTATAGCTGTGATATTTACTACTGGTCATTTTCAAATAAATTTTAATATGTGAAGTTTGCTTCTTATCTATCTATAGTGGGTACATATATATGTATCATTTAAGGGGGACATGGGTCTTCGGAGCCAAAAGCTTCCTAAAACTGCATTCTTTTGAAAACGGCAATGGCTGTTGTTCTTCTGAATCTACCAGGCTTCTAGTGCCGTGGATGAGTATTTGAGATATAAATCAATTTATAATGTCTTTGCGGGCTGAATGTGCATTTAAGTTGACTCTAAAACATTGTTTTCACATAACATAAATTTTGGACTCATTGAAAATTTGCAGGAGGGATATCTCAGCATCTAAAGCAGTCAGAAATATAATATTTCTTGAAATGTGTTGCTAAATGTCTGAAGCATACAATGTTGAAAGCAGATTTTTTAATATAGGTCTAGACATTTTTTTATATGATCTTTTGCTTTATTACTTGTTAGCCATGCATTGAGCACTTAACTTCAATATGTTGTGAAATCACTAATAATTCATTTATCTTAAAAGTACTTCTAACATTGTATTCTTTACACTTCGTGGTATCTGGCCATGTGTTAAAAAGGATATTTTGTTGAGCAGCTTTTCCATATCATTCCTCCAAACAAAGGCAGGCAAGTTTTAATTACCTTCAGGAAAATTCTACTGACTGAGGAAATATATGAAATCAGCACAATAAGCTGAACAAGCGTGTACAATTTCAATGAGTTTGGTCATGAAATAAGAAAAAAAAGCTCCAAGACCAGTGTTCCTTCTTAACTGAAACATTGCAAAATGTGTGCAAAACCCACCTAGGAGTCTTTTGCAAAAAATGCAGAAGACTCCTAGGTGGTCGAACTTGACCATAATTCGTTTATTCCGGTGAGCAAAGTGTCCTTCGTTTGTCCAGCACCTAAAACAAATATTTGTATTTTTCTAAGAATATCTGCTCCGAAAGCCACTTTCTGTGCTCCGGAACACTGTTTTAGCCGCTCTAAAAGCCTTGTTTTGGCTGCTCCAAAGGCCACTTTTGCTGCTCCAAAACACTGTTTTGGCTGCTCCGAAAGGTGCTCCAAAACGACTTAGGCCAATCACATCACTGCAAATCCCTAGTCATGATGTCTTTTCAAAATCTCGATGTCAAGGAAATACCGTATTTACTCACATAATGAATGCGCTTGCATAATGGACGCACCCCCTGCAACAGATACCAATATTTAGACTTCTTTTTTTTTTTCTCTCGCATAATCAGTGCACCTCAATTTTCATCTTTGCGAGTCTCAAATTGCATCCAATTTAGCTAGGCACCACGATAATTTTCTTTTGCTGCCAAGCGGTCAGACCAAGTCAAGCCAAGCCACGCCAAGCCCAGCCACTCTTATAACGGCCGCAAGTTCGTAGTTGCGGTAGTTGCAGAAGTGATCAACCCTGAAACTGAGCGGCGCGCACACTTGATGAAGCTTGGTTCGAGGAATCGCCCAGCCCCGGACATTCTTCGCCTATCGGATGCATTAATGTCAACAAACACGCAGCCGTCTGGGGTCCGCTTTCGGACAGTGAAATCGTGAAAGTGGTCTGGCCTAATTTCACATACTCCATTAATTTAATCCGTAACTGAATTCCTCAGCGAGGTGCACGCTACGTCTGGTAACAACCGTCTCCGTGAACGAAACTTGATCCGTGGGAGCAGGCCTCGGCGATCGGCGGGTGGACTTCATACGAATTCATATATGTGTAGTCGCGGTATATACCTGAGCGCGCTGCCGGATACTAGCAATATATATCACCTAAGAATGGTTGTGCTGAGCGAGCTTCATAGGGCGCTTTTCCTTTGGCAAAAGGCTTGCCTAAAGTGCTCTGAAAAGGTTCGCAATTTATAAAGCATTGTTACTGTGGTGCACCCCGACCAGCGGAGACGTGCCACAGTACCTTGCCGTGTCATATTGGCACTTAATATGACATTTGCACAAAGTGTGCAAATGCGAAAAATTTACCCCGCGTAATAAACGCCCCCCCCCCCTTCCCCCCCCCCCCCTCCAGATATGTGTCTATTTTTCGGAAAAAAAGCGTGTTCATTATGCGAGTAAATACAGTAGGTTATACAGGCTATGGAAGATGACATCTTTAAGTCTGACACTATATGCCGGCCACATGCTCTTGCATATACAAACTGCATGTACAGGGGCCGAAGTTTAGAACTTGAACCAGCACAGCTTCAGTGCAGTAATGTTGTCGGGCAAAGTTACAACAGTAGAGGCAAAAAATGGGCTTTCCTTGCCTGGGAAAAGCAGTTTTTGCCATGTGTTTGTGTGCACTGCGGGAAAGATGCAGAGCTCAGCGACTTCTGTGCAAAGATGCATTCTACTGCACAAACTGTCACTACCAAGAAAGTACCGGTGTGTTTACTCTGCACATGCAGCCCCCCCCCCCCCCCATATACAGCAGAAGTCTGTATAGTTATACTCACTGATTCACTATATCATCGTAAGTAGTGTCCAAAAAGGAAATATCTGGAAATATTTTACTGTTGCATAGCATTGCGGACATGGCCACACTTGTGTACACTGGTCCTGGAGGTGGTATGAGGAGTATGATCCAGCTCTTAGGATAATAGGTAGATGTTTCGAGACACCTGGAAATATGTTGCTGTTGCATGAGTGGTACAAAGCAGGGTGTCTAGCGACCGGGAAAACCGGGAATTGTCAGGGAAATTTGAATTGCCGGGAAAAATCAGGGAATTGTCTGGGATATTGTCAAAAAGCGAGCCCAGTCAGGGAAAATGAGGCGGAAACGCCGTCGAGTGCCCCGAGCAGAGTTGAGGACTGAGGGGCAGAAAAATAGGCAATAAATTCTGCCTAGAGTGGAGCGTGGGCTCTGCTCGTCCGATGTAGAGTGTGTTACCCAATGCAAATGAAACAGCTGACCAATCCAGGACCAGCCTTGGATTGGACTGGATTGAGGGTGCAACACTAGGCTAGATCCAATTAGGGGTACTAGATTTAGTAACAAATGGAAAAGTCTCAAACCCCGATCCAATCCAAGCCGAAAGTATCCGAAAATGTGCATCTGGGGGCTATGCTGCCATTCG